GTAGCTCGTTCCGAATTCAGCATAAATGATTGGGTGGCTAGTTACATCGGATCGAATTGAAGTCTTGGTCTAAGTACTATGCAGCCTTGCAACTCTGCATTCAGCATCTGCACTAGCATCGGTCCTCGGTTTCCAGCTATAGTGATAATTTATATGAATATGATCTTATTCTTATAATATATTATACATAACTGTATAATTATTAAAAATCACACGAATTATGGCAAGTACACATACTTGATAAGAGTTGATGAAGCATCCCAGGCAATGCGCATGTGGCTCGGATGGACACTCGCTCCACGGTGCCACTGGAAAGCCAGAGTCAGGACTCGCCTGGCCCGTCTCCTGGCCGGCTGGTGCTAGCCGACATGCTTGAGTTGTCTAAAGACAAACTTGGAGCCGCCATCTTCTTGGATAGCTTGCAGCTGGGCGCAGGGGCTCGTGCATTCAAGGATTGGCTGCTGGTTGACTTCATGGAAGGGCCGAACCAGGTCATGGAGATTAGTGATGCCGAACGCTTCGAGACACTGGCCCGTGTTTACGAGATCACAAAGGGTCTTGTGGCAGACGCCCGAAACAAAGCCGAGGCTTACGACGTGTTTTCGAGAGTTGGGTATGACAAGGTCAGAGTGACAGCTGAGGATGCAGTTGCGAAGGTCTTGAGGGAGGCTGCAGCACACAAGGACAAGGATGCTGGGCAAAGCCAGCCGAAAGTCCGGGTTGCTGAGGCATGGCTCCAGAGGGAGATTGCAAACCTGGATGCTAAGAAGAAGGATCTTGCATCGTCGGCATCCAGAGCTGCATCCTTTGCAGCCAGCAAGCTGCATGCCCTTCTCGGACATCTCCGACAGTCTAATTGCCTGTCCTCTGACTTCATGTTGCTCATGGACTCGTGGGAGGAGATGGATGCTTGTGAATGTGTGGCAAAGAAGCTCAGGCCGGTGCCTGTGATCGATCCGCAATTTGCGGACACTCAGCTGGACATCGAGGTGGCACCCTTCCCGGATCCGGTGAGTGCAGATGAGAAGGTGGGACGTTATTACATAGGGTCACTCGGGTTCTAGACTGTTCTAGACTTATTAGCCGCTTGTGTGTACATGTGTCATGTGTGTGCTATATATTATGCTAGGGGCTAAACCTTATGTATAGCACGCTAGCTATAGTGCTGATCATATGTCGAAATTAAATATAGATCTATACAGCTACATATTTATTATATATAGTAGCTATATTATATTATTTATAATATTGTTATATAAGAAAATTGTATGTATATATATTTTTATCAGGTTATCATACTGCGATTATAATAATGCAAACTTAATTCCCAAGCCCTGAGGAAGTGGCATCACCATCCCCCGATGGTGATCATGACCGGATGACAGGAACTCTGGATCCTGTGGCTGTGGCTTCACAGAGCTCGCTGGCTGCTGGAGGTGGAAGTGATTCTGACTATGGGGGAGCAACCTTGCCTGCTGATGGAGAAAAGCAAGTGGAAGCTACGCAGTTGCTTGCTGACCCTTATGATGCAGAAGTGCCGGGTGTGCAGGCAGTACCTGATCATGAGGAGCATCAGCAGTGTGGTGAAGTGGAAGCTCCTGCTGGGCATCATACAGAATCTCCTGGACATCAGGACCCTGGTGACAAAGGATCCGGTGTGGAGCAGCAGTGTGGTGTGGAAACTCCTGATGGGGGTCATCCGTGTAGTCATGGAGAATCTCAGGGGCATCAGCAGTGTGGTCACACAGAATCTCAGGGGCATGAGATGCAATCTCATACAGAATCTCCGGGGCATCAGTCATCTGGTCAAACAGAATCTCAGGGGCATCAGCAGTGTGGTCACACAGAATCTCTGGCGCATCAGGTGTGTGGTGACACAGAATCTCCAAGGCATCAGTCGTCGGATCAGACAGAATCTCCAAGGCATCAGTCATCTGCTCAGACAGAATCTCAGGGGCATCAGT